TTAGTATTATGGACAATGTGAATTTTGGAATTTATAAATATTTTTCTAGCAATGATGAAATAGCTTTGGGACCAGTGTATACTTTTTTATGGGTCTCTCATTCTTGCAATTTATTTGATGATTTCTGGGGTTTCGTTTTTCTGTTAACTCTATTTATTAGATACCCCATTTTGAAGAGACCACACATGAGGGAAGCTGAACTGATACATGATATCACATAGTTAATCCACTTTCTATACTGTTGTAAAACATCATCAAATGCAATGCAGTGTTGTTTTTCAGTGTTTGAAACAGATCATTCAAGGATCTGGTATCTCTAAATCCTGCCTTTTTTCAAGGGATTACGCAGCTCTGATTAGTCAGATTACTCTGTCAGTTGTATTGTTGTCATGATACTGGGATCTCTAACTTCAAAAATGATGGATAGATAGATAGATAGATAGATAGATAGATAGATAGACAGACAGACAGACAGACAGACAGACAGACAGACAGACAGATAGATAAATTTATTAAAATAATATTTTAGTCACCAAACAAATTTAGAAATTGAAAGATAATACAATTAAATTCAAGCAAAACAATTGCAACCTATAAAATTTCAAATAAATAAAAAAAAATCCTTCTCTTGGTTTTTCCTCTTTTTTTAAATAAAAATTATTGAATATCTTTCTATAACACATAAATGTTGTACTTTTATTCTTTTTTTCTATAATGGTGTATTAGTTTTTAGACTGTTATTGCAAGTTACTTTGTTACATAAGCTCCAGATTTGCTTTAGTACTGACTAATCTAATGTATATACCCAAATATAATCTTTTTTAGTTTCTTATTAAAAATATGAATTTTAAAGATAGATGTGAGGGGTATACGCATATATGCTGAGCACATTAGTCAGTCAGACAGACAGACAGACAGACAGACAGACAGACAGACAGACAGATAGACAGATAGATAGATAGATAGATAGATAGATAGATAGATAGATAGATAGATAGATAGATAGATAGATAGATAGATAGATAGATAGATAGATAGATGCAGTTCTTGGCAGACTGCTACCGCGTGTATCAAGTTAACCTGAATCATCATTCTGTCTTATCAAAATACCACATTGATCTAAAAAAAATAAAAATTCTCATCAAAAAATAATTTGGACTGCAATTTTCCAAAACTTTTTCCTTCCACACATACCCTCCTTCTCTCCCTCCTGGTAAGCTGCTGGCCGTGCAGTAACCTCCACACCATCCTGCCCGCGATTTTAGTGTCAATGCCCAGAAGTCTGAAACCATGATAGTAATGCTTGAGCTCGTCCAGGACTTTCTGTCCCAGGGACTTCCTTGGCAACGCTGGAGGTGCTGGCGGTGGTTGAGTGGCAGAGGCGGCTGGAACTGGATCACTCTTTATGGGTTCAGAATCCGCAGGGGTGTCCTTTGCCTCCTGCAGCCACGAACAAGAGCTGTGGATGGGACGTGCGGATATGCAACCAGGGCGGACGTAGCTGGATGTGTTGGGGTACACTGGTCTGGGACATCTGGCTGTGACAGCAATACGTCCAAGCAATTCTGAATGGTAGCGTATGCATGCGGTTGACGGGAGTGTAGCACAGCCATGTCTTTTAGAAAGCAAGTATGATCCCCTGAGGAAAATCAAATAAATCAATAAAAAAGGTAATTGGCACATTTTAAAGCTCTCAATTTTGACTTCTTTTCTTTCTTAGCAGGAAAAAGTCTAAATGTTACCTTTTCTCTTAAAATCTGAGTTTGCATGTTGCAGTTCTGGGTTTATATACATTTTTTTCTCCATTTGTTAAAGTTTTAATTGAATTTGCAAGAAGAAAAAGAGTGATAATATTGTGCTAAATTAAAATAACTTTTTTGTTATTATTTTGCCGGTTGGCAGGAACGAGAACACTGTTTACATCATAGAAATAGCTCATGTGAAGTGATCATAATAATACTAATTTCTATAGTCATTTGGATGATGTCCTTACCTTGATCTTGTTACCGCAAGAAGCACCTGTGAGCTGAAAACTGCCATTTTGTGATGGAAAATCAGGCGTCCTGCAAAGTGAATGAAAATATAAATTTTCAAAAATACATTTTTATTGTATTCTCTGTCAATAAAGTATTATAATATTTTAATGTAAGCAATTAAGGAAAATGTATATGTGCCTCAACATTATATCACTATGAAGGCTTTTGATGTTTCAATATTCTTAAAAAAGGGTACATATATTCACAAGTTGAAGTTTACCAAGAAAGACTACTAGACATAATATGATTTGCTCCGTTATTTATGAGGAATAAATTTTAATTTCCAAACAATAAGTAGTTGATTCACAAATTTAGTTATAAATACTTACATTGGTAAATAGTAAAGACTTTTCTAAAATCTAATTAACTTGATAAATGAATAATAAATATGTGTTATATAACTTATATGGAACTGCTACTTTTTCATTCGTTTCAGTATTTTTAAATGAATATTATCTGCATGAATACAGCAGCAATAACAGCCTCGTGTCAGTACTGCAGGAAACTACGCTCGAGCGCACCTGCGGCCGGCCGCGAGAACTGCACAAAAACACCGACTCACGTGTTTATCTCAGCCACTCGAGTTGCTAAAACAGAACACAAACACCGACACCGGTCAAAGTCATCGGGCATATTTAACATACAATCAAGTATTGTTTTATCCTACCATGAGCTTTATCACTAATCACAACAGGCCACTTGGGTAACCGTTACATCACAACTGTGATTATTATGACCATAAACCGAGCAACTAACTAAAGTGCAAATACTTTAGTTATGTTTAACGTTGTCTAAATAAATAACAACCATCACTTCTTCTTATACTTCTCAAAAGTTTGAGCTTTTTGAGCATTTAAAGTGTAATATAAAAGGTCTTGTAAGTAAATAAAAGCTATAAACTTTGATGACAGGCGCTGAAGGCCACAACAGAGGCCTGTAGATCCAAAACACGGCGCTTTCAGTTTCAGTGCTATAGTTAACTCAAACATACGCTGATTTATGTATGTACCGGACATATCATCGATTAACATAAGCGATCGGACGTTTCCTTGTGTTTTACTTGTGTTAATGTACAACTAAAATGAACGCAAAAGCGAGTGGAGAGTTAACGGTTTAACAATAACAACGGATGAAACCTATAGGACTGACATGATCCGAATGAGATATTGAGGATCTGTCCGCCCGAATAGACATTAAACAACAACCAACCTGTCGAAAAAGGTCCGTGTGGTGCGGTGTGATGGCTGTTATGCAGTAAGCATCGGGTATGGTGTCAGATCGGATGACGGTGGAGAAAAATGTTCGGCTCGACAGCGCTCCTCCTGCAGCTGAGGGTCAAATTTCCTCGGAGGCGAAGGTACGGAAAACTGAGCTTCCACGGGATGAGATGCTCCATTCACGACGGCGTGTAACTCCTTTAATTTAAATCCAAATCGACATATAAATGAACACGTCTTTGCAGGTGTACTAGTTTAAAATGCACTGTCAGTTTGCCTCCGCTGCCCGAGTTGAGCCGACTGGCTTGCCGAGGAGGATCATCCGATGAGAGGAGCGGCGTGAATGACAGCTGTGAGCCCCAATAGGCGAGTCGTGCGTACTAGTGACGCTGGCCAATGCGCTGTACTGGGCGGAAAGTGGAACTTCCCATGACCTCATCCGTGGTTACGAGGGCAGAGAGGCGTCCATACCTACTGATCCGAGTTCAGCTGCAGCTCAGAGTTGTCATGGAAACTGAGGGATTTGCAGTACCGAGAACAGAAACGCAGTAATAAAAGCGATTCAAATTGTGGTTGTTAAGGTCTTAGTGCAGACGATGGCGCTGTTTTTCAGTTAATCCTAGTCAAAATCAAAATTGTGCTGAATTATATAGTTTTTGTTGATGTTTACAATTATAATATAATTATACATTTAAATTTTAAAAAGCTAAACTGACCATATTAGATCATATAATACACACACACACACACACACACACACACACACATATATATATATATATATATATATATATATATATATATATATATATATATATATTGTAGGGATGTCCCGATTTTGAGTATCTACACTTAAATCTATTATCTATTTAACAAAACCCGATTCTATACTTCTATAATACAGAAAAAAAGAATGCAGAAGAGCGGAAAAACAGATTCAAGATATTCCTTATTTTTTTATTTAATTCACCTTGTTTTAACATTCAACATCTCTGTTAGCAAATAACTATAGAGTTACACACACACACACACACACACACACACACACACACACACATATATATATATATATATATATATATATATATATATATATATATATATATATATATATATATATATATATATATATATATACACGTTTGTCAGAAAACAGTATAATCGTATTGAACAGTGTAAAATTACACATACAAATATGAATATATGTATTTAATTTATAAGAAATTATGAGATAATATTAAATATTATGTCTATTTTTTCATATATATATATATATATATATATATATATATATATATATATATACATGCAAATAGTATACACACTACATAAATACAATTACAACGTACTTACGTAATATGTGTGCGTGAAAATGGTTTTATTTTTTATTAATAATCTCTAATAGACAAACTTAAATGATGTTAGAATTTTTAAAGTATTTCTTAATAAAATATTCTTTAAAAAAACAATGGAAATAAAAACTATTTTACTAAGAGAATTTAGCGTTTTACGATTAAATTGTGTGATGCGTTCGCTACATTTTATGTTTTGTTGTCACGCAATAATAACTAATCTCATTATATTCATTCATTTATTTTGGCTGTAATTATATATATATATATATATATATATATATATATATATATATATATATATATATATATATATATATAAATATAAAAATACTACTCGTCCTAACAAACGGCTCACATCATGCAGCACAGCCAATGGGGGCGATTTTATTTTGGCGCTGAGACACAGGCCTTAAGCAGAGGGGCTTTTGTTACAGCTAGAGGGAGGGAGACGGCTATAATAAAATATATGGGAGCCAAATTTCCCTAGGTCTGCAGGAGCATCCCGCAAAAAAACGGGGCCTCTCCCGATTCACAGCCACACATCCTATCATGGGGATCGACACACGACTGATCTAGCCCCGTTTTTCTCCCAAACAGCGGATCAGATCTCAGAAACGTGGAGTCATAGGTCTTTGTGTTGATATATTTATGTTAACTGCAGCAGGGATCCAGTTTATTTGCTGTATTTGTTTAGAATGGAACACGCTGAAGGTACAGACGCTTTTATTCTACCGCTCTTTTCCTCATGCTTCGTTTCATGATTTATTGATGAATACAAAACAAGCGCTGCATGCATTTATGTTTTCGGTAACAATAAAGCAGTGGTTTTCATCACACCTCTTCCACGATGGAAATGCAATCTGGCCAATTTGATTTAAAGGGGCACGGGCAGCCATGTTGGCATGTTCGCATTCACTTCTACAGTTTTTAAGCTTCACCGCATGATGCAGTTTACCAAAAAAGCATACCGATTTGCATCAAATCGCCTGTTAAAAAACCCCTGGTGATACACATTAGAACTACGTGTGTTGATGTTTTTCCCTTATACACACACATTAGCACATCCGCTAACGCCGCCTTTCATATAATGCAGCGACATTACACGGGGTCCGCTTTACATTGCTGTTGAAAGCCCAGGATTTATTTTTTATTCACGAGTGCTTAATTTAGTTTATTCGTATTTCATTTTGTATTTACTGTTAGATTGAAGCGTTTATACATTGACAATATGGATATACTCGATCTGTTTTGTTATCCAGATAACGCTAGCAGGCTAATGTTAGCCAGCTGGTCATTGCAGGTTTGTTTCTTTGAGATGAAACAATGTTTCAGCTTAGTTTGTTTAAAAAAAGGTCATTTGTTGTTCGGTGGCATTGATCGATGGGTTTGTTTTGCTACATGAATGTCTTAAAATGTTTGTTTTATATTTACTTAATAGACATTCGAAATGACACAAAACTGAAAAAATAAACAATGCTTTTGAATATAATTGTTTATTTTAGTTGTTTATCGAGACAGATTAATTGGTGAAAACGCGTATAAAATCAACGAGACATGCAAAATATGATTTAATTTAATTAATATTAATGCATTTCTGTGCGATGAAATTAACGGTGAATCAAAGGAATTTAATGTGACGAAAATGGCACTGCACAGCTTTGATTGGATTCCAATTACAAAATCTCATTTATGCATGAGTTTTCCTCTTTAAAAAATCTTAAAAAGTTGGCATAACTTCGAGCAGATTAGAGGAAACTTTATTAATCCCTTGGGAGGGAAATTGCAGCTTTGCAGAACAGCTTCATTGGCATTAGCCAAAAACAAGATGCATGTTTTAAATGTGTAATATATGCACTCTGTCTTTATCTCAGCAGGCCCTGTAAGAAAAAGGGAAACTTAAGGATGCTGGAGCAGAACAATGGATTTCTCCTTCTCTTTCATGCAAGGGATCATGGGAAACACAATTCAGCAACCCCCTCAGCTTATTGACTCCGCTAACATCAGACAGGAGGATGTCTATGAAGCCATCAGTGACCCAGGAGATGATGGAGGACAGCAAAACTTTGATTCTCCTCTGGAGTCCGGCTTTTCATACCCAGCTGAAGACGTCCCAGTCATTACAAATGGTTACCCTACGGGTGTAGGTACCTATGAGCAACAGGCCAAGTTTGCCTTGTACTCTCAGTTCCCCAATGGTTCAGCTAATGGCTATGGTGCCATACGAAACTATGGAGATCACAGTTTGCTGCTTGGTGAGGGCACAGTATTGAGACCACCAGTGGTCCAGGAAAAACCTCAAACTCACATCTCACCTCCATCTCATTCCCATCATCACCAGCAGCCTCATCATCCACATCACCACCACCATCAGCAGCAGCAGCAACACCACCCACACAACCCACCTCTGTTACCTCACCACCACCACCACCACCCACCTCCTGCCTCGCACCTAATGCCTCAAGTCCTGCCACCTCCTCCTCCCTTGCTCTTACCTTCATCTCCACCCCTTCTCTCACCTCAAGAAAGCACCATCTCCAACCCCATTGGGCAACCCGTCAACACCATCATCACCACCACTCCTAAAAAGACCAGCTCCCCAGAGATCAAATTAAAGATCATTAAGACCTATCAGAATGGCAGGGAGCTCTTTGAGTCCTCGTTGTGTGGAGACCTCCTGCAGGAGTTTCAGGCCGGCGAGGATTCCAGGAGACAACATGAGCAGAAGAAGGAGAAGAGGAAAAAGAGAGGCAGCAGACATGGCGCTGGTCATGAAGAAAGCCAACAGCCAAGCAAAGTTGAGGAGGAGCGGTCAGTTGTGGTGCACAACCCTGTACAGACCACTGAAAGTCAGGTCGCTTTCAGAGAAGAGCAGCAGCCACAGTCAAGCCTCAAAAGCCCCAAAGCAGAACTCAAGGAGCAGAAGGTGAGTGTCCTGTTTCAGACACAATAACATGCGAAAAACCTGTAGTTTATAAGATTCTGTTCATCCAAGCATGTGTTGTCTTCTTGTTTAGGTGGAAAAGCACTGTCCTTCGGTCATCACTAGCACTGGCACTTCTCAAGAGTATGAGATTGGTGACTTGGTGTGGGCAAAAGTTGGGACGTATCCTTGGTGGCCATGCATGGTGTCATCAGACCCACAGTCGAACGTTCATACACGTATTAATACAAGAGGTAATTAATCTAAAACAGTATAATGCAAGTAGAGGTTCTTAAGGGGCCATTCACATTGCATCTAACAGCGTGTGGAAAGTGTGAGACACGTCGCTTCCTTCACCAGTTTTAATGTGCTTTGCGCTCGCGCTTCCATGTCATTTGTCATTACTAGGTGACTATCGAACATTTTCTCAGAGTATGAAAATCTGACAACATTGCTGCAGCTCTGATACAAGTTTTATTAATGGAAAAAGCCATAAGCTGTGGACCTCCATTGGAAAGAACGAACTTGTGCATAGAAAAGACGTCAAATGTGAACGGGTACTAAGTCTGGTAAACACTACACAAGCAATTTTAAAACACTAGTGCCTGTTTTCACTGAGGGGTACAGAACAGTACAGATTAGAAGTCAAACTTGCCTTTCCACTGCCATAACTTGTGTGCCTCAGAAAGTTGCCATCAAAGTCCTTCTCGCATGAAGATGAAAACCCTAAAGACCGTTGACATATCTTTGTGTAGAAGGAGCATCTGCTAGTAAGCCAGAGTGCTTGGTGAGTCTTTCTGCTGTGGCGAACCCCAATAGAAATTGATGCCACATTGTTAATTGCCTCTAATGGTTAGGGAGTTGGACTTCAAAAGGATGCAGGTTTAATTTCTGTACTTGACAGGAATTGAAGTAGGGCGAATGAATAAACTACACTTTCTTTATCTTTAGTACCCATCAAACCCCTATTAGAGTTTATGCCAGGCCAGTGTTTTTCCCATACTGATAAACTTCCGGTGACCTGTTATTGTAAAAGCGAAGGGGACACTACACTGTCAGTGGGCGCTGTCTTTCGGATGAGACGTTAAACCGAGGTCCTGACTCTCTGTGGTCATTAAAAATCCCATGGCACTTCTCGTGAAAGAGCAGGGGTGTAACCCCGGTGTCCTGGCCAAAGTCCCTCTATCGGCCCTTACAATTATGGCCTCTCTATCATCCCCATCCACCGAATTGGCTCGATCACTGTCTCTCCACTCCACCAATAGCTGGTGTGTGGTGAGCGCACTGGCGCCGTTGTCCTGTGGCTGCCGTCGCATCATCCAAGTTAATGCTGCACACTGGTGGGGTGGAGAGACCCCCCTCATGATTGTAAAGCGCTTTGGGTGTATGGCCATACACAATAAATGCGCTATATAAATACACATTACATTACATTACATTACATTTACATTACATTGTGAATTTTTTTTTCAATTTATACGGTTCCTTTTACAGCATCGATGTTGTAATGCAATTAAAATATATTCAGTTATATAAACTTTGGCATTCATTTAGTTGCTCAAGCGTAAAACAAGACAAAAAGCCGTTTAAGTGTAAAACGAGATGAAAAGCCATTTACGCGCAAGCACCGTCAGAATCGGCAGGCTAGCCCAGAAGCTCCATTGAATATACTGGGGTAAAATAAATGCTCTCATTGTAAAGACATGGCAGGGAAAATGTAATTTAATGCAGTGCTTTTTGTACAATCTGAGACCTACTTTATATTGAATATCACTCAGCCAGTGGAGAACACTGATTTTTAAAGAAAACAGACCTTAAACGCGCCAATTTTTGCATTGGCATGCAGTTGACCGGAATCGCTTACCCCAGGTTACTGGCAAATTCAAACTTCTATTAGCATGCTTCAGCATATACCCTATTGTTCACTATGTGCTTGTACTGGCACTACTTAAAATCTGTGTGGGTTAAAAACAAAGTACCAATTTCAAGTATGGGTAAAACCTTACTCGCCAAGGCTCACTTTACTTTGTAAAAGTGAAATTGTTTAAAATTGTTTAAGCGACTGTTGACCAAAAGCCCGACTGACTTTTTTTTTGTTGTAGATTCTGTTGTTTATCAAGTTTTTGTTTTCTTAAGCTTTCCTATCTTAATGATAATTACTGATCTTGTTTGCTGTTGTTAGGTTGTAAGGAGTACCATGTGCAGTTCTTTGGAAGTGTCCCTGAGAGGGCCTGGATCCACGAGAAAAGAACTGTGGTGTACAAGAGTGAGAACCAGTTCGATGAGCTGCAAGCAGAAACGCTGCGCAAGAGTACCAACCCTACAGAGAAACAAAAGGTACGCATACCTCAATAAATGTTGTGACCCCATTTCTGTGGTCGTCTGTATGTTCTTCATCTGTAATTTGCTCTATAGCTGCTGAAGCCTCAGTCCCAAAAGGAGCGTGCCCAATGGGAAGTGGGTGTGGGTCATGCGGAAGCAGCTCTTCAGATGACAAGAGAGGAGCGCAATGAGAACTACACCTTCATCTACATTGACAAGGAACCTGGAGCTGATGCTGAAACTGCTGCTGCTCCAGCTCCTGCACCTGATTCTGCTCCTACTGCTCCTACAGACACTGTGACCTCACCAAAAGCGACTGCTAAAAACCGTCCTGAACGTAAACAGAGACGCTCTAGAGGCAGTGCCGGAGCAAAAGAGGAGCCTATTCCCCGTCGGCAGCAACCACGGAGGCAATGCAGCATGAATAGTGTTGGAGAAACATCATCTCCCAATCAAGGAGAGGATGCTATGGAGCAGGAGCAACCCTGCAGTCCTCCCAAACCTGCCCCCCGGCCAAAGGAACCCTCTCCACCTCCCGTCCGGACGCCGTGGAGAACTGCCGCAGCTCGCAAGCTTCTCCCGCTCTCCATTACCATGAAGAAACTCAATGTGGAAATCATCAAATGCGACTGGCAGCTCCCAAAACAAAAGGTGGAGTTACCCAAGAAGACCGAGAGTGAGGAGAGGCCCAGCAGTCGTGTTAAGTCACCGGAGGTAAAATTACAAAGAAAATCAGGGTAACCGCTGGGTCTTAAATTTTAAAAACACAATTTTAGGCCTTAAAAGTCTTAAATTCACTGAAATGTTGTCTAGTAGGTCTCAAATGATTTTAAACAGGTCTTAATTTTTTAAAAAAGCTACCCAATCGATCCAAAACACTAGGCCCACACGGAATCTGTGAGCGCAGAAATCTGCAGATGTTTAAACCATCATTGAGTCTATGTATTAACTTGTGTTAATGTTTGTACATTTATATTTATTCCGTTTTTAAATTAATTTCACCAATATTGTTATATTGTGATATAATAATAGTAATAATGAAATGTTCATATAATTTATTTACAGTACAGTTTGTAAAGTAATATTTTCTGTCCTTCAGTAGATATATTATATGAGATACTTGCTTTGTTTACCAAATAAGTGGTTTTAATTGGATTTGCATTATAAACATTAAATAAAAGTTACAAATGTATTTTTTATTTCCTAAATTAACTTTTAGCTTGATGCTCCTAAAATCATTCCAAATTTATCAAATGACATGAGTGTAGTGAACTCAATTTACTGAAAGTTAGTTCTACTCATTTGAAAAGAATTTTGAACTCGGTTTTGAAGGTAACGAGTTAACTTCAACTTAAATGGAGTAAGTTCACAGAACTCATATAGAGTAGTTTAACTCAAATGGTTTGAGTTGCCTTATGACATGATGAGATTGTATACAAAAGATCGTACACAAGACTCCCACATGAACATTTACTCAAAGGACAAGAACCCCCAAAAGGTCAATATTGTAGCAGAAACCAAACTGTTAAACATATTCTTGTGGAATGCCCTATTTCTAATGTTATCAGACAACAATTTTTGTCTGAAGAGACTTTAAATGAATTTTTTTTATATGTGAATCCTTCTAATAGTAGAAATGTGTTATCAAAAGTAAACCTTAAAAACAGTTGTAGTTTTTTATCTTGTATATTATCATTATTATTATTTATGTATTTTTATCTTGTGCATTTATTGCTGTTGATGACTTTTAATTCTTAGAATAAAAAAAATCTTTCATAGAAAAGTGTTATTTATAAAATGTGTAAAACTTGATCTATTTTTGCTATGACATGGCCATAGAAGCTGATATGGCAATAAACTCAAAATACTTTCATAAAAAAATCTTAATCAAAATCATTTTTTTTAATTAAAAAAAATATTTAGGAAAAACCACAAGAGGAAAAAAAGGGGGGGGGGGGGCAAAGCAGTTGTCATGGTGGTAACAAAATCAAGTCACAATACATTTGAAGCCCATTATCACATATTGTTTACTATGGCATACTCTGTCCATTTTTGCCAATGCCGGTTGCACTTTTGAATCAAGTCCTAGATTAAACGTCAGTCTCTCCTTGCAGTGTATTTTCTTTACAATCCCTATCCATTGAGCCCTTGTTGGAGGATCAACCTGAAACCATTTTTGAGTTATGATTTTTCTGCTAATCTAAATATTTGAATTAAGTATTTGTCAATAGTTGGAACAATTTCTTTCATTTTCCTAAGGTATAATGTCATAAATGAGTAGTCCATTTCTTCTCTTAAATGAAATTTTAATGAAACTTTAATAGCAAGGGGTAAATCAGAGTAAAATGTCAAAAATCATGTCATTTATATGTTGCATGAATAAAAATATGAGCATCTTCTTCAGTAGTTTTGTTTTCAAAAATTACCATCAAAATCAATGCATACAATATAAAATGAAGATACTAAGTATTTTTCTGAAAAATTATACAACAAATGGGAGTTTATTCTTAAAATAGGAACAGTTACTCTAGTCGTTACTGGAGTATTACATTACTTTGGCAGATATTTGTTCTTGGTTTCACAGAAAACAAAAACATTTTAATCTTAATTTAAAAATTCAGACATTTGCATGAAAACAAAGCAAAAATGTTGAGGAAAAATATCACTTTTTTTACAGTGTGACCACAATGTACAGTAAAAGTTATACTAATGGAAAGAGTTATTTAAACCTTAATCTTATTAATTGCAATCAATTAAATGAGTCTTTCCTGACCTTACAATTAAACTTGATTTTGATCAGTTTCACAGAAAACAAATACATTTAATTAATCTAAGATTAATTTAAATAAATCCCAATTTAAATATTTAGACTTTTGATGAAACCAAAACAAAAATGTTAATGAAAATATCACTTTAACAGTTTGATCACAAGGTACAGTAAAAGTATTTTTCTTAGTCTGGTGTTTGACTGCACAGTTATTCAAACCCTGTTAATTGCAATCAATTACAACATACTTTTTGCACCCACATTTTTGCTAGCAAGCATTCCTGTCTAACTCCTTAAAGCAAGGCATGCTAACTTGATAAAAGCAATCACACATGATGTGTCAGTTAGCATCTTCAATTTCTGTGTAATACAATTAGTTGGCATACTTGCATTATAGCCGTCTAGTTTAAAGTTAATTGCTAAGCTGTAGCTAGCTAATACATAATTACAGTAGGTCTCATATGCATGCTGCTTAAGAAACTACACCTTTTTTTTACAAATGCTGTTCTGTTTCACAAAGGGCTCCAGTAATAAAGCAGAAGCAGAGACGTGTTCGAGTGAAGAGGAGCGAGCTGCGTCTCCATCAGGATGGAGTGACCAGGAACACACTTCAGCAGAGCAATCCACAGGTATTCACTGGATTAGTGCAAGCACAGAGCGGAAGCAGAGATGTACAGATGTGGTTTTACGGTGCAAGTCTGATCAAGGAAACGTCCTTTGTGTTTGTGCCAAAACAGAGAGAAAGCAGCAGCGGCGATCAGTGCGAAGCCGCTCTGAGTCAGAGAAGAGCGTGGAGCCAGTGCCAAAAAAGAAAGTGAAAAAAGAACAGGTAGAGCATCAGAAGAAAATATTTAATCTGGAGACACAGATGAGTCAGTAGATAATTCAAAACTGAAAATTGTCAGGGCTCATTCACACCAAATGAGTCTTCGCTTTCAAAAACGCTTGATGTGGCGTTCAGGAAAGGGTTAAAGAAAGGTGCAGTGCAGCTCCACGTGATGCAATATTACCAACATGATGTAATAACAACAATAACGGACCTGTTAAAATAGGAAAACGATAAGTTTATCATATGCATTTGAAGATACTGCCAATAACTAAGGATATTCTGGAAAAGTCACAATGAATGCCTCATCCTCCATGATGGGATGGTAAATAAAACTGTTTTCATGCCAACTTTCTACTATAAACAGAAGTTCGCATTGGTTGCCTCAGCTCTGATATTTTCTGATTGGTCCACTGCTTTTGGACCTTACAGTGATGAGCTGCGCTGCTTGTGAAAGTTGATGATCTTTCAACTTGGCACAATGTATTAAAAATTGTGTAAGTGATGCTTCAGAAGATGTAAGATGTGAGTGTAATGGTCAAACGCATGTCAAAGCATGTTTACATTGAAAAACTATAGAATAGTAGCATGTTGAAGAGGAAAAACCCCCCTTATTTGCCCCCTTTGATTTATTTTTTTTAATTTTTTAAAATATTTTCCAAATGATGTTTAACAGAGCAAGGCAATTTCCACAGAATGTCTGATGATAATTTTTCTTCTGGAGAAAGTCTGAATTGATTTTTTTCAGCTAGAATAAAAGCAGTTTAAAATAAATAAATAAAAACATTTTATGGACAAAACTATTAGCCCCTTTAAACTATACATTTTTTCTGTAGTCTACAGAACAAACCATATTTATACAATAACTTACCTAATCACCCTAACCTGCCTAATTTACCTAATTAACCTAGTTAAGCCTTTAAATGTCACTTTAAGCTGTAGAGAAGTGTCTTGAAAAATATCTAGTCAAATATTATTTACTGTCATCATGGCCAAAATAAAATGAATCAGTTATTAGAAAAGAGTTATTAAAACTATTATGTTTAGAAATGTATTGGAAAAAAATCTTCTCTACATTAAACAGAAATTGGGGGGAAAAATAAAGGGGGGCTAATAATTCCTTAAGTCTTTCTTCTGTCAAACACAAAAGAAGATGTTTTGAATAAAGCTTAACCTCTAACCATTGACTTTTATAGTATTTGTTTTTCTATTTCGTATGACAATGGCTTCTGTTTTCGGCTTGCTTTGAAATATTTTCTTTGTGTTCAAGAGAATAAAGAAACTCATAAAGGTTTGGAATGACTGGAATGAATGAGAATTTTTGGGGTGGACTATCACTTTAAGAAATTCAGTACATTTAGAAACAATCATTTCTAATAGATTAATTTTGACATGAGGATATTTAGATTTTCGTACTGGAAAAGGAAAACAGAAAAAAAACTTTCCTTGTGCTCTGCTAGGATTTTTTTCCAGATGAATATTTTATGTAATAGTTATATTTAAATGTTTGAAATGTTATTAATATAACTCTGCTCTTTGTGGATTTATATTTCTAGAACATGTTGACAGTAGTTCTCTAAGAGTAGGTTTTCTTTTGCATTCACGGCAAATGTAGTTTAAGCATCTGATTCACTGTATGTATTTGAAGCAAAATGTAAACCTGTTAATTTGATATTAATAATATATGTATTATATGTACAAAATTTCAGTATTTGCATCTGTCAAAAAAACTACTGCCAGATTTTTATTTATTTATTTTTTAAGTTTTTTTTTTTTTTTTTTTTTTTAATTCACATTTACCAGGTTTTGATTGATTGCAATGAACTTTGTACCTTTTCGTTTAGAGTAGTTTACTTGAATATTAAACTTAAGAGCCTAGAGATCCAGGCTGTGAATCTTGTTGGAAGTTTTTATGGCAAGTAATGCTGTCAAATACAATATTAACACCTTAACATGTTTACATCTTTTTCTTTGTTCACAGGCTGAAACGGCACCTCAAATGGATTTTAAAACCGGGTCACAAAAAGGTTCTCGACTCTATACTTTTTTTGTTGTTTGTTTTAAATATACTGAAATCTTGAGTTTGACTAAATTAATCTGTAGTTCAGTGCATCTACTAACACTACTCTAAATCCTGTAGGAGCCAGTGAGATCTCAGACTCATGTAAACCACTGAAGAAACGCAGCAGAGCATCTACTGATGTGGAGATGGCCAGCTCTCTCTACAGAGACACTTCTGACTCTGACTCCAGAGGCCTCAATGACCCGCAGGTCAGAAAGCACAGAAAATTATGTCGGATTGGTTCATTTGAATGGCTAGCATGTTTTGTAGCCAAATAAGAAAGGGGCTCTTCCTGTAAATGTTTTTTCTTTTTTTTTTTTTTTCTTTTTTTTTTGTAGACTGGATTCGGGAAACGCTCAGACAGTCCTGCTACAGTAGATGCAGATGGATCTGATGCGCAGTCTGTGGACTCCAGCCTATCCCGTCAAGGAGGAAGCTCCTCCAAAAAGGACACAGTTTGCCATGTGAGCTCTATAAAACGTGTTTATTTAATCTTGAACATAACGTGTTGTATATTAAACAAAATCTATATCGTTAAAAAAAGAAAGCATTTAAAAACAGTAAAAATGGAAATGAAATCTTACAATTTAATATAACTGTTTCTATATTAATAATTATATTTATACTAAAATACTAATAATAGTATTTTAAAAAACAGTTTATTTCTGTAATGTCAAAGTTTAGAAATATTTAAGTTTTGGTGTTTTTGTATATCCCCTTCTGGATTCTATGATGAGGGGAAAGTAAAACAAAGAATTGTGAACAATGTGATGGTCTTTACTTGTACATTTAATGAGTTATGTCTGATTCCACCTTCTGTGGTAAATGGTTAATTTTACTGGTTATATTGAATCTGAAATGTCTTTGATAAAGTTTAATTTGAAAGATGAGTTCATACTGTTATTTAGTGGTATTAATGAAAGTTGCAGGATCCACAGAAATGTAACGCAATCATCAGACTTTTTTGGATGTAATTAAAATGTCATGTTTTGGTTTCACTGTTCAATGTCTCAGGTGTGTGAGACGTTTGGGGATTCTTTGGTAAGCTGTGAGGGAGACTGTAACAGGCTGTTTCATCCAGAGTGTATGGGATCCAACAGTGGAAAAGAGAGTGAAACTGTGTGTCAGGAGTGCAAGACAGGTGAACAATACGTCTGATTTGGGATCAGATTTTTAAAGGCTATTTTGAAACTTGTTTACATGAAAATTAAGCTTGTACAATGAACGGCTCATTGCTGTAATTTTCTTAATGTGAGTGCTGAGAATTGAATGTAATCTTAATCTGTTTGTTACTGTGTCTTTCTGCAGGTTCCCACCCTTGTTTCTCCTGTAAGGTCACGGAGGGTGATATGAAGCGGTGCTCAGTAAACGGTTGTGGACGTTATTACCATGAAACCTGTGTCCGGAAGTACACTGGCTCCGCCTCTGACACCAAAGGCCTGCGCTGCCCTCAGCACAGCTGTGCCACTTGCTGTCTCGACAGAGACCTTCAAAAAGCTGGCAAAGGTACACAACAGATATAAGAAATATTTGAAAAATTAGACTGATGAAATGAAAAAATTGTGTTGGGCAGATTAAAAGATTAATTGCATTCAAAATAAAAGTTTGTTTTAAGATCAATACAGTGTTCAGCATAACTGAGTACAGCCCATTTTGAAAATTTATATTTTTATCAATTTCTCAGTGAATATAGGCAATGTATTTTGGTGCATTTAAACAAAACAGATTTATCAAACCAATATATTTATTAAAATAATATTTTATTTATCGAGCATATTTAGAAATTGAAAGCTAATACAATTATATTCAAGCAAAATATTGCAAACTAATTTATCTAAATTAAAAAATATTTATATTTTTCAATCTTTTCTTGATTTTTCATCATTTTTTTCAATTTGTATTTAATATTTTTTATTACACAAATTTGGTTGTACAAGTTTTTGGACTGTTATTTTGTTAGATTAGCTCCAGATTTGGCTTCAGTACTGACTAATCTAATGTAAATACAAGCATATAATATTGTATAGCTTCCTATTAAAAAATATTAATTTAAAAGAAAAAATTGTTAGGTGTGTACTTGTATATGCTGAGCACTGTATATATATATGTGTGTGTGTGTGTGTGTGTGTGTGTGTGTGTGTGTGTGTGTGTGTGTGTGTGTGTGTGTGTGTTACACATTATGTGTATGTGATGCATACATACAAACTATCATTTAAATATAGTACATATGTATATGATACAAAACACTATATCTAAATAGACATTTTTCAAAATATATTTGCATGTATGTGTGCATTTATAAATGTGAATTAAATATACACAGCGCACACACACAATGTCAAAAAACATTTGTTTTGCATGCTGTTAATCTCTCAGCACTAGTAAAAATGTGGTTGTATGTTGCATAATTTCGAAGTTAGTCTTTTTTTCTTTTTTTTTTGATCAGCATGGAGGAAAAAACAAAAATATATTAATATATAGTGATTTACTAACAAATATTATGCCATATGTGCCTATTTTTATAATCGGCAAAAACACTTTGTGTGTGTGTTTAAATGCAACTGATCTGTGAGGTAATTTCTCTAATAACAGGCTGTTTACACTTAATGACATGAATAAAATGCTAAGTAACCATAGTCCCTTTTACAGACACAGACCTTTTTTGCAGAGTTACAGGTAAATTGCCATGAAGAGATCATGTATTAACAGGCCTTTAAAAAAAGTACCAGAAATTCATTCCAGTTGTAAAAATAAGTAATAAAATTAGCAATAAATTGCTTTAATTTGCCATGTGAACAGCACATTATTGTTTTTGTCCATCCGCACTTTTATTTATTTATTTTCCTCTATTTACATACTATTTAATGTTTAGTCATGCTTATGTTTTGTTATAATGGTCATATTTTTTTTACAAACTGCTGCTGTTGGACTGAAGTGTCAATACAGCACTTTGTCACCGCATTTAAGTGATCACATTTTTCTCATCAAGTAACATGACACACAGCCTCTTGATGTTGTATAAATGGTGGACTATATGATGTCTAATGAGCTTTTATTTATTTCTTTAGGTCGTATGATGCGATGTATCCGCTGTCCAGTGGCCTATCACACAGGAGACGGCTGTGTGGCAGCTGGCAGTGTTTTGATAACACCGCACATCATCATATGTAGCAACCACTCCAGCTCCAGAAAGAACGGACACTTTTCTTCTCCTGTAAACGTAGGCTGGTGTTTCATCTGTGCTCGAGGTACGTTCGACCTGACTCTTTTCATAATTGCAGAGATGGTTAGATTTATGTTAGTTATCCCTCACACTTAAAATGGTATTTAAAAAGAGTTGTTTTTAAAACATGTGCGCAGTTGGTCTTCACACCTCGTCAGTACTTTAATGTTCTCTGGTGTCGACTTTTACAAAGCTCCTTCTCTTTTTGAGTGGGATGCCTATTAATGTAACCCTCTGACCTTCTTTCTTGTCATCTAATCCCTTACTTATAGATGTACTGTGTGTTCGTGATCCATCAGATCATGTTTGTTTCTTACTAATTCGTAACATTTTTAATTGTCTGTTTTAATTCTTCTGGGGAAGGACTGAGATTGAATTACATTAATTTAATAATTAATTAATTAATTAATTTTAATTAATTCAATAATTAAAAAACATTCTAGTGAGCATTTATTAAACACTCATTCTTAATTAGTCATACAACGTTGCTTAGAGCTATCATTTTATTTTCAATACGGATGCACCGATATACGCTACCTGACAGAAGTCTTGTTGCCTATCCAAGTTTTAGGAACAACAAATAATAACTTGACTTCTAGTTGATCATTTGGTATCAGAAGTGATTAATATGAAAATGCCTCTAGTTTCTGTTTATTTTATCAAAATAAAATATGATTATCCCTAAATGTTTACTTATTATTTTGGACAGTAACGTCTGACTTTGATAAGACAAAAGTCTTTTCACTTAACAGAAAAATATTTAGAGTATAGAATATAAAGTCATGGTGCAGTGAAAAAAAGAATTAAAATTGTGTATGACTCCCATGAGCTTGAACGACTCCGCAATGACTCAAATAACTCATTAATAAAGTCATTTGGAATGGCAAAGAAAGCGTTTTTGCAGGACTCCCAGATTTCATCTAGATCAGGGTTTTTCAAAGTCTAAGACAGTGGGTCTCCCTTTTGACACAATTTATCCATTGGCGCCCCCCTCCTCCCAAACACGCACGCACACACACACACGCACGCACGCACGCACACAAACATATATATATATATATATATATATATATATATATATATATATATATATATATTTATATTTATAAAGACACAGACAGATGTGAGACTGTTAACTCACTTTTATCATCATTTGCATGAAAGTGCAATTATTTACAGAGTAATAACAAGTATTTTAATATAACGTTTTTAAAACTAGGATGATGGTTCAATATGAATAGAACAGATCCAAGAACTGTCCATCCCAGTCAAAACAGTGGAAGTTTAGCAGGTCTCATGCTGTCAGTAGCCAAAATATCTTGACAAATCACACATAAAGGTCGTGGTTCATCAGCTGGTCCTGTCCACGTAAATCCTAAACTCAAATAACGATCATCATATCGTCATCTTTTGGGTTTAAGCCTGGAACTTGATGGCTTTGAATCGGGGGGTCTCAGAAACCGATCCATTGTGTTAGCAGGCATATACCTGTATTGGTGGGCTTGCCAAACAGAAGCGAATTTACAGCTATGGCCTTCTGGGTAAAAAAGGTTTTCTTATTTTAGACGTATTATTTTTTTTTTTAGCTTTGTTTAATTAAAACGTTTCAATATAATAAAAAGTACATATAATAATTAAACGTAATAATTATATTTTTATAATATAATATTTTTTTCCCGCGCCTACCCTGACATGCTCTGGCGCCCCCCAGGGGAGGCGCGCCACACACTTTGAAAACCCCTGATCTAGATCGTTTGGATTCATCTTTAATGACTCCTCCTCCATCTTACCCCAGACCTGCTCAATACTGTTTATGTCTGGTGACTGGACTGGCCAATATTGGAGCACCTTGACCTTCTTTACTTTTAGGAACTTTGGTGTGGAGGCTGAAGTATGAGATGGAGCATTATCCTGCCCTTACCTTTGGTTTGTAATGTAATGGGCAGCACAAATGTCTCAGGCTGTTGATTTTGCCATCCACTCTCTCGCACAGCCCATACTAAATGTAACCCCAAACCACGATTTTCCCTTCACCACACTTGACTGATTTTTGTGTGAATCTTGGGTCTATGTGTGTTCCAATAGATGTTCAGCAGTATTTGTGATGATTAGGATGCAGTTCAACAGATGATTCATCTGAAAAAACTACCTTCTGCCACTATTCCAAATGAACAACTTGAAGTCAAGTTATTATTTGTGCTCTGAAACCAACAACAAGACTTTTGACAGGTAGTGTAGAAATGATGGATTTTATAACATAAAGCTAAATATATTAAGTAAAATGAGTCATTAAATATTTTAAATATGATATCAGAACTTGAGCAAATGTGTGCACTACTATGTAAATAAATATTCAAACAGCCATACTTTAATTCAGGGGTGGCCAACCCTGTTCCTGGAGAGCCACCTTCCTGCAGATTTCAGTTGCTACCCATATCAAACACACCTGAACCAATTAATTAGGACCTGAACACCACGTAATAATTACAGGCAGGTGTGTTTGATATGGGTTGCAACTGAAATCTGAAGGAAGGTGGCTCTCCAGGAAGAGGGTTGGCCACCCCTGCTTTAATTAATAATTTTAGCTCATACCAATAAGATTGTGCATCTCTGATTTATTGTTTCATTCTTTAAGATGCATTTTTTTCCCAGAAATTGTTTAAACTTGACATGTGAAATCCTAAACTTTAATATTTAAGTTTTGAGACTTACATGTTGCAAGTCACAATGAGATTTAATCAAATTAGTTACTATACAATGTTTTGATAGGTGCACATGGTTTCTTAATGCCAATGTTTTAATTAGAATGTCAGCATTAGTCAGTATTATTTGTTGTATCTTTAGAAATGATCAGAAACCTTCCCTCTTTTGTAGACATCATCTTTAACACTCTAATTTCTCTAGGAACTAATTGGTAATGATTAACTGACTTTGGTCATTTCTTTAACCATCTTTGTTGTTGGATAGTGTGTGTTGTTGGGTTGGGAGCAGCCTCACTTGATCTTTATCACTATTTTGTCATTTAAAGGAGTAAAATTTGTCATTTACTCACCCTTGTGTTGTTCCAAACAGATATCACTTTATTTCTGATCTAAAATGCAAAATGGGACCATTTTAAAAATGCTCTGGTTGTTGAATTTTCTTTTTCTGAAGCCGGGCTAAATTTTTCAAGCTCAGATAAGAATACAGAAGCGCCCGAAAGTTATCATGAAAGTTACTTTTTATGACTTTATGCACTAGAACTGAAACAATCAATGTAAATTGTCTGCAGATAATGCTATTGTTAAATAGTTCAACATTGTGTGCATCACTGTGATACGCAATAATAGGGGCTTTTTTTTAACTGGTAAAATGAGTTTTTGTCCTTACGAGAGGTGCACAGTATATCGTTTCAGCATCAATATCACAATGTGATTATTTGCAATAGTCACATCAGGATATTTGCAGTGTTGAGTTTGTAGTATAATTTGTCATTTGCATGTGTTTTTGATGCCTATGATTGTCTAATAATTTTAAAAGCATTCAGGTAAAAGAAATCGTACCATTTTATAGAATTTTTATTTTTATCATTCAGTTACTGTACTTGAATACTGTTAGACTTGGCAAACGATAAAACACTTTATTTCAATACTATCTTTTCTTGATTGTATTAATAGATTGTTATGCATAAAAATAATTACATGTGCAAATAGAGAAATGCGCTGCAAATAGGACAGACCATAACAAAAATTTGTCAGGGGAAACCAAACATTTCAAAGATTGTTTATTAGATTTTATTTATTAGATAGAGATGCATTCCCACTGCAGAATCATCCCAGTTGATCTAAGTTTATAAAAATTTAAAAAATATTTCCAAATAGAGATATTATGTCATTTGGTGAAATTTTGTTTATAATCGCAAAATAAAAAAATTATCGCAATGTAAGATTTTTCCAATATCGTGCAGCCCTAGTCCTTGCGATCATAGTGAAGCAAGAAGTATCTAGTTCTGTAACTGGAACAACTGCATTAACTATGGCAATGATCTGCTCCGATACTTTATTCAGTGTTAGATGCTACCAGTATGAATACAATTTTACATTATATATGGAAAGCGACAGCTCATAGTCCTGAAAATATAATATTTAGCAAATATAGTTTAAACATGACCGTCACTCAGAATGTACTGTTAATAATGTTAATGAGCTAATATTAGCTAGAGCTGTAACGGATCATGGCTGATCAGTGATTCGTACGAATAACTATGCATGGTTCGGAACACACGATGCCTGCGGATTAAAATATATTTTATTTTACTTGTAGATTCATCCTAAATTTGTAGCTATTGCAGAGGGATCACCTCTTGCGTCATTTAAATCACATGTATGAAAGCATTTAGGCTTTCCCATAAAATATAATGATGACAAAAGAAGAATATTCAGGATGTCGTGAGTTTCTTAGCTTTTTAAAGGCATTTTCTGTCACTACTTCTGAGCTGCATGGTTAAGCATTAAAAGATCGGGATCTCAACACCCTTGCAACATAAACTATAAATGATGGTCATTTGCATATGTTTATTAATCCTTTGAATCGCTGCATTCAAATCTGTATTTGAAAAACGCAAAAATCAAGACAGAGATAGAGTCTTTAGTCAACAAGAGTTAGTTATGAAGTTAATATGTCAAATAACACAGACGTACTGGGAGAGCAGTTTATATAGTTATATAAAACCACTGATGTTTATGGTAAAGATTAAAATCATCATTGAATGCATTTAACTTGATGCTCAAAAACAAAAGTTGTAGGCAACAATTACATTACTTAACCAGTAGGTGGCGACAATTAACCATCAAACATATTCCATTGAATAATTCTTTAAAAATGATCAATCTAGCAATGAAACAAAGTTTTTTGAGTGAATAACTGAATCATTCATTGAAAATCAGATTAAAAATAAATATGAATTGTACAAATTATAATGTTAGATTTATACATTTAGCGTCATTAGCAACAGTACTAGTAACAGTGAACTTTTCACAGTACTGAATATTGTACAACTTATTTTTATGCAGCTGCATTATTTCTTCATTTTATTTTTAATAAAATAACAGATTCTAGGTTTTCTTTGTTAAACTCAAAAAGTGTATTGCAGTACTGTTTTTGTAATAAATGGAAAGCAAATTGCATTTGACTTTCATTTTTGGCTGATCCGAAAAAAGGTTCGATCTGTGACTAAAAAACTTTAATGTGTGATATGTTACATCACTAACATTTAGCTTATTTTAGTTTATTAAATTTATTTAATAAACCTATCCTTTTTTATGGGTGCAGTGCACTAGAATAGCACAACACACATAAACATACATTGCAACATGTCACAATACAAAAGTTTTACAATTGTTTTTTTTTTAAACTACAGTCACTTTTAATATATGAAAAATAAAACCATGCCTTGGAACTCTAGCAATAAATTAAATGTGATTTTTCTGACACTGTGCTCCAATATTTATACTCCTGAAAATATATCAAATGAAGTACAAATACAAATGAATTTAATCTATATAAAAATCTTATCACAAGCTTATGAATAGGAATTGAATCATCAAACTTGTCAATACCCAGTCCGAATAAAAAACACTTTTTAATAATGATCGAAGTTAAATTTTCAAAAGTTATTTCCATTTTCATATATATTTTAAAAAGCATCTTGCAACTCTGTGCACTATATTCAGATTTTTTTATAGGACAAAATATAAAATGTTTTCATTCACTGAAAGTTACAATTGGAGCAACATGATGGTGAATAAAGCAATCTTGATATTTCAATGGAGTTTTGAAATTGACGTTTGGCTAAAATTTAAAGCAGAAAAGGATCAACTTAATCTCTTGTGCTCCCACTCCAACACCACAGTTACTCCTCTTAAGCCTCTCGTTTTTTGTGTTCTCTTTTCAGGACTACTTATTTAATCACGTGTCGTTTTTTTCCTGATGTGTGTTTTTTCTGGAATCATGGGTAGTTTCATTACTCATGACCTTTCCTGTTTGTCTCGTGTAGGGCTTTTAGTGCACGACCATACTGACACCATATTAAGTTCATATACCTTTAAGTCGCACTACCTTCTGACTGAGTCAAATCGTGCTGAGTTGATGAAATTACCTATGATTCCTTCTTCTTCGTCAGCTACCAAAAAGAATATTGGGAAAGGTAAAATCATGTTTTCTTGGTTTATGTAGTTTGCCATCTGTATGCTTTCACAGCTGTCTTATTGCTACCTTTTTATTATTTCTTTGATTTTGGGGTCATTTTATTGCTTGTAATTTTACACCCTCGCGCTACTTCTAATGCATATAGTGGGCTTAAAATAACACGCACAACCAACATATATAAAATTTCCAAAGCAGTTTAGATTCAGATCAGATGAGTGACTTTTAAATTAGTTTAATCTGTTGTGGTTGCCATAATACTCAAATCTTGGGCTTTTAAATTGCTCTTATTCCTTGAAATATGTCATATAACTTGTTATTCTGAGTCCGAAAATCGCTTCAGCTTAGCTTTAATTGCTTGGCTTGTTTCTAAATGACTTTGTCACGTTTCTCTGTTTGCTTGAGCACAGTTATACCCCACCACCCTCTAAACATAATATTTTGGATGGCAGTTTTGTTAGTCAACAGCAAGGGTCCTGGAAGTAAAATATTCTGTTCATTTTGTCCGTAAAGAAATTGATTTTTAATGATAAGTTTAACTCCCAAAATTAGTGCAGATGCTTCTGTTAAAGGCATAATTCACCCAAAATATCAAATTGAGCTAAAATTCACTTACCCTGGTGTTGGCCTTTTTTTGTTTTTAGAGCACTAAAAAGCTTTATTTTAAAAATTATTATTATTATTATGTCCCGCTTTTTCTAAACAACCGTGTACAAATAGTTTTCTACCTATTAAAAATGTAAAGAAGCTAACAAAAGACCAAATGTCAATTTTTAATGCACTAAATCTTAGTTTGTTTTACACTGAACACTACTGTATATTCCCCAGAATACTTGGAATATACATTGTGTTGCATGAGGAAATTTTTATTTATTTATTTATTTATTTATTTATTTATTTATTTATTTATTTATTTATTTATTTATTTATTTATTTATTATCATTATTTTAGCTTGCTTTTTGCTTTTAGCTACAATTGTTTGGAACAACACTGGGGTCAGTAAATCATTACTAATGCCAGGTTCAGTAAATCATTGCTAATGCCAGGTTCAGACTATATGATGTATATAGAGAGAGAGAGAGAGAGATTATGCAGTTTTGATGCCTGCGATAAGTCATCAAGAGGGCAGAACTAGCAGCTGACATATGCTGAGATGAGTAAAAACAGTAATAGGGGTCATTGCAGTAGAATACAGAACAGTTAGAGTATCTTTTTCTTGATGCAATCACACCACAAGAAATAGGAAAGTTTGTAATTTGAGCAACGCCTGTTGGGCAAACTAAATTAGCTCCTTCAGAGTATGATCTACCCATGACAAATGTGTGTTGATTTGTTGAATTCATTTGAAATCAAATGGGGCTGGGCGATTAATCAAAGTAATCGAAGTCGACATTTAGAACCTATAATCAATGCAATTTTTCCAGGTCGAATTTTTATTTCCCCAATTACTGGTTCTACCGCGTGTTGAGATCACATGACCACTCTGTTAAGACTGATTTATACTCCTGCTGCCACTTTGCAGCCACATCTGATCTCTGGTCAAGTAAGAGACCCATTTCTCAGCAATACATTGCACTATACTGATGATGATTGGAAGCTGCGCTGAGATGCTTTGAGGTGGCATATTTTCTATTACATAAAAATTATTATTTACATAAAAATATTTGTTTACAGAAGATACAAGAAATGCACCGTTTAAAATGTTATTTACAGGATATGTTGTATTATTTAGAAGAGATACTGCTTATTTTCTACTTTTAATTTGAAAAACAAGGAAAAATATATATTATGTGTCCTACAGTGCAAGTTAATTAGGCAATGTGTGTTTTGATTTCAGTTGTTTAATGTTGATGTTCAATAAGTAATCATAGAAAGTAGACCCTTTATCCTTCCTTCAATTATTTTAAAATCATGTAATGCACCCTTCATTTAAAAATCTCACACTTGTAAAATGTGAGCATATTTACTGTACAAAACCAGTGACAGTGTCAGTGAACTAAAAAAATATATATATAAAATAATGGCTCATTAATCGTAATAGAGTTAAAATGTTCAATTAAATGGGATTTTGATTTCAGGCCAAATCACCCAGCCCTAATATAAAATGTCAGCACAGTATTTTAAAGCATTAGTGAAAGCTCATGTTAACAGTGTTTACCTCACATCTTTGTCTGCAGTGTTGTTCTTTTCTTAGCCTTCCTTTGTGCTTTTTTTATTGCATAACTTGTATGTTTACAATCGATATTTATCACACGACCACTGTCAACAACAACAAAAAAACACTGCTTTGATCATGCCATCCAGCATCCCCATCCTCTTATTTTGATGAATGCTGCACGTAATGGAACCATGAATAAACGCTGGCTTTTTGGGCACTACCCTTGTTTAGTTCCTATAACTAACTACTGCAAACGGCCAAGCCTTTTCTCCTAGAATATATAATACCATTGTCTCTCTTTTGTTTTCTATGTTTAAAAAAAGCTAAGGGAGAGCTTCTTTTGGTAATTTGTCAGAGATGTGGCAGAACCCATCATTAAGGGATGGAAAAAAATAATTAAACATGGTAGTCTTGCTTTGGGGCTGGCTATCATAAAGCATCCCAAATGCGGCATGCGGAATGAGATAAAATCAAATGATTCTAGTCTCAACATCTTGCAATGCCTATGAGATCATGCCAACAACCTGATTTTAAAAAGCTTTCAATTTTAGTATGAGTAGCCTAGAACCTGCATTTAGTTTCAATTTAATTTTGGGTGAACTTATCCTTTAAAGCTAGTCCGTAAGATACTTGTATATACTTGTATATATCTGAATATTTTAGTTTAAACTTAAAACATGTAGTAGTTCTTTCAGTTTAGTTAGTTTTTATATTATACCCGTGTAATTTGTGATGGCTTATTGAAATTATAAATTAGATCTAGAGAGATTTGTCTATCATTTGGAGCCCGTTGGTTTAAGGACTAGACTTGTATACATTATTATTATTATTATTATTATTATTATTATTATTATTATTGTGTTTTTTTTTTAATTCATCCGGAGAAAATGAATCAGAAAATACTTCCGAAACCAAAATGTCTAGCAAAGTGGACACTCACTTGATGCGCTTACTTACTTTTATTGCCCATCAATGTTTATTTGCCTTGCAGTCAAATAGACCAAACATTACAAATAACACCATCCAAAATACTTGCTCCGTGTCTGCTAGTGTACTGCAAGTGATGTTAATGCAGACGATAAGTCAGTGTGCATCACTGCATGTTTCCCATAATGCCCCCCTTTGATCATTCACTATTGGCTGCTTATTAAATCACACTGCGCGAAACAAGCACATTAACATGATGCATAAAAGGCGTCAGTCAACAAACCATGTCTTTGAGCATGTCGAATTGAGCTTTACATTGGCATTCATAATCTAGACATTTTTCAGAGGCACATGTTGATCTAAAACTAACGACACAGAAATGTCTGATTCTGACATGCTCACAAATGAGGTTTTTTGAATTTCGCCTAATTTTGGCATGTGGTGATTCTGTGGGTCTGTGTATTCGATTGTGTGTTTATGTGCGTGTGTGTGCTTGTCAAAAAGGAGGAAGACTGTTGTGTTGCGAGGCCTGTCCTGCCTCGTTCCACCCTGAGTGCTTGAAAATAGAGATGCCGGAGGGGACGTGGCTGTGTGGCGAATGCAAATCGGGCAAGAAGCCCCACTATAAGCAGATAGTCTGGGTCAAGTTGGGCAACTACAGGTACGTCTTTTATACTGTTGGAAGTCTCCTCCGATGCATTTAACTAAACTAAAAGCATGTTCATGCCAAGGCTAATGTGTCTGAAGGGCTTTTTCACACTTGAAGTTAACCGTGTCATTTAAACTACATTTTAAAAAACATTCTGTTTTTTTTTTCACACACTGAACTTTAGTATGTTAATGTACTTTCAACTAAAATAGAATAATGAGTAGGGGGAGGGGCTTTTCTTTGCACGTCATGCCCTTAAAGCAAATTAACAGTAGGAGGGAGAGGGTTATTAATATGCAGTTGCTATGGAAGCCCTCGCGTTGTCAACTAAAGGACTCCCACTTCAAACACTGAAGCAAATGATCAGAATTTCATTGGAGTTACCAAAACAAACTATTTCTTTCTGTGGATTAACTTGCAAGGGCTACAAATGAATAATATTATATATATAATATAATAATAATAAAATAAAAACAAAAGCTATTTTTGTTAATATTGCTAATATTGTTAATTTTGATTTCTTTCAGTCCCACTTTTCCAGACTTTAAAATGAATTGAAGGTATTCATGAGCTGTGTGAAAAGCCTATAAAGAAATAATTCTCCCAAAAATAAAATTGATCAATAATATTATTATTATTATATTATTATATCATCACATGCCCAAGCTATCCTCAACTTATTTAATTGCTGCTTCAAGATGAGCACAATGGGAGTAATTTTACATTTTATTTAGTCTTTTCCATGGTGTATAATGGTGTTGGGTAGTAGCCCTTTTGTAGCAAAGATTCTTGGCTGATTGATCTCTGATTAAATATATGATGCATGACATAAGAACTTAAAGAATTTAAAACTACTCCAACTGGGTTCGTGTGAAAGAAGAAAGTCAAGTGCAATGGAGAAACCTTCAGGGTGAGACCATTTTGAGGTCATTTTCAGTTTTGGTCAAACTATTTCTTTACACGTCCCAAAAATGTTGAATGGAATCATTTCTAGTGAATATCCCGTCTCACTGTGTTGCATTGACTGTCAATGTCAAATATCATTGTTAATTTGAAAGAACTACTTGGGTAAGTTATTTCATAAGCAGCACTGGGTGGTAACTGATTACTTGTGGTCTGGATTACATAATCATAATTTATAAAATTAGTACTTGTTCAAAATTGCATTTTATTATGCTTTATAATTAAATTAGTTACTTTTATGGATTACATGATTATGACTCTTTACACAGTGGAAGTGTCAAATCTGTAATTATTTATTCTTTGTGGGGGTTTTTTTCTCAATTTTAGTTTTTTTTAAATTCATAATAAATAATCACATTATTCACAGAAAAATCATGTAACCTTGTCTTTTAATTAAGGGAGAAGTTAATATGAATTAAGTCAAAATAAACTTTAAAGCTAATCAAATGTATTCAGAAAACATTTCTTAAAACCTCTGAATTTGCTGTTGATGTTTGCCATTGATAGTCCAATTTCTTTTTTGCAATTATGTATTGCATTTGAACAAATATTAAACACACTCACTAATGGGGTACATGCACACAGAGTTTTAATTTCAGTTAGCCAGCCCCAAGGCTTCCAGTGAATTGTCACCCCATACAAAATTGCCGCTTTTAGGATCTGATTTCTTTAGAAAAACATCGATCTTCACTGCCTGGCTGAGATACGATATAAAGTGGATATCAGACAAAACAAGAAGCACTGCATTAAAATTAGATTTTTCTGCGCCACGTTTTTAAAATATGGAAATGAATTCGACCCCTGTATTTTCAATAGAGTTTCTGCACTTAGCCTGTTGCTAATAATGATGCCTACGTTTAAACGATGTTTCGTCTCTTTTTACGCTTATCGTCATTGGCTAAAAAACACTCTCTGTGCATATAGCCTATTGCTTAGGTTTTCCTTGATGGCTAAGTTTTTGTGGGCAATTAAAGTAATTGATATTCCATCATGTGTAGATGGTGGCCCGCTGAGATCTGCAACCCTCGCCTGGTTCCCTCCAACATCCAGAGCCTGAAGCATGACATTGGTGACTTTCCAGTCTTTTTCTTTGGATCCCATGACTATTACTGGATAAACCAAGGCAGAGTTTTCCCCTACGTTGAAAGCGATAAGAACTTTGCAGAGGGACAAGTCGGCATCAATAAGACATTTAAAAAAGGTACCAGCTTATGCAGTGGAGTTTTGTTTGTTATATTTCTTAGTTAAAGCGTGAGTCCAGTCATAAAGGTCAAGCTAAATTGACTACTAAATGTATTTTTGTATGTGTGTAAAGCACTTGAAGAGGCAGCAAAAAGGTTCCAGGAATTAAAAGCACAGCGAGAAACCAAGGAGGCCTTGGAACAAGAGCGCAACTCTCGCAGACCTCCACCATACAAACTTATAAAGGTAAATAAATGTTCAGATACTTCATGCAAACGTTAATCTGTTGCATTGCTGTTATTTGCTTAACCTTGTTGTTGTTATAGTAGTTACATTGTAATAACAATATAATATAGTTGTAATAACTACTCCTAGATATTTAAAAAATAACAAATAAAGCTCAGTGTAAGATGAACCAATTGGTTGCCACATTTGTTGTCACATGGTACCATTATATGGACCTACTTTTATCATTATCTTATAGAGGTGTAACGATACACCAAAGGCACGGTTCGATTCACGGTTTTGGAGCCACGGTTCGGTTGTTTGCTGTACGGTTTGGGTTGATTTCATCTTAACAGCAATGCCAAGGAACAATAGATTCACTTAATAACAAGAACTTTTTTTTATTAACTTTGCCATCACATTTTAGTACAAGCAGATACCCGAGTAAACATCAAAAATTAAATAAATACCTCCAATATAGACTAGTCAGAAAAAACTATTCTCTTTAGTGCAGCCATCTTAACTAAGTAAACTAAAATGAAATAAATAACTGCAGTGTAGACTAGTGGAAGATAAACAGGCTTGTCCTCTCTAAGGACATTTGGAATATGTATAATAATAAACACCATGATGTCCACATTCTCAGGCGAGAGACTTGATCTCTGTGCAGACACAGACATAGTGATGCTCATTTTTGATTATCTAAGTTTTCATTTGATAAACAGGTTTCAGTTCAAATTAATGAAAAAATATACATGTAATGTGTTTGTACAGCGTTTTTTACATGACATATTCACCAGTAAAATACATAGCAGTTATGTCTGAAACTAATGTTACCATTGTAGCCGTATATAGGTTGTATTTTGCCTCCCGTTAGTGATGCGTGGATGTCGATTACATCCGCGGGCGCTGCAGATAATTCGAGAAAAAAATACATTATAATTAATTGTGGGTTGGTTGTGGGTGTATGTAGCGGGACATGGCAGTGGATCAGCGAAAAAGCAGAGAGTGTGCTTTGCAGAATGGGAAGATATGAGACGCCCAATAATGATAGATGAAGTCAGTGCAAAAGTAGCCTGTACTGTTCAAAGTTTCAGTTAGAGGAGTCATCAGAGGAAAATCTGCTCTCCTTCTGGGAGAAACAAGATCGCTTATTTCCATGACTGCAGCACCTTGCGAGGAGAACCTTGTTAATTCCTACAACACGTGGTGCGAGCGAACGCAGCTGGCCGCATTTTGGAGGCAAGGTGGAGATGGTGCGGGGCCAGGAAATGAGGAGCAGAGCGCTTTTTCCTTTAATCTAGTTTTTCGTGTATTTTGCTGACATGATTATGATTTTCGTTGTTTTTGCTTAACTTTCGTTTGGGTGAAATTATTTTGCATTACTTTTGCCCACTTTGAGTTTTTTTTTTCAATTTTATTTCAATTGATTTGTTAGTTACTTTTTGGTTCGGCTCTTTCCTGTCATATTGAGATATAGACTACCTCCTGAAGTTCACTCTTTTCTCAGAGTAAGGTGGATAGGGAAGATGTCGTGTAACTTCCATTTTGCAAACACGTAGAAAATGTATTTTTAAAGACATCAGGTAAGAGGTGAAGATCATCTTTGTTTTTATTGTATTCTACAGTTCAGTATAGGGAAGAATGTGGCGCTCGGGGCTGAAGACTTTTTCTTTTCATCAGTTAGCAAGGTAAGGGGTTATTGATGAGTTAGAATTGTTTTGTTATATTTCTTTCTTTTGTTTGGTTTCACTATCATCCCCTTACTCGAGTTTAACTAATTTTTGTTTGATATTTTGTTTGAATTTGCTACTTTATTTTATTCTTTTTATTATTGTAAATATTTCTATTTTTTTGTATACATTTGGGCATTATTCTGGTTTCTTTTTTGTACATTAAATAGCTTTTGTTGGCAGTTCTGTTGTCAGTCTTTTGCTTACACCCTTACATTGTGAAATTTCCACACTTTTTAAATGTTATTCCTTGTAAGTAAGTTTCGTTAAAGTCAGGACAGATAGGTGTGCGTTTTGTCTACGACACGAATTATATTCCTGTACTCCACTGGAAAACAGAAGAGTTTCCAGACAGGCAACTTAAATTTATCTGGGGGATCTGTAATCTCAGTATATGCGAAGCAGCCAACCTGCTTAAACAGTAGTGACCGAGTGTTATCACTCACTCAAGTCACATGACATGACATGCACTTGGAAAATACTAACTTTAAAATATAATATTTAGAACAAAAGCTCATCATTACTAATACATTTTAATCAAATAAGATAAAATAAAGATGTTTAAATTGGTTCAATTAGAGACATGTGACGTCAACCTCAACAATGGGCAGCAGGGGGCGTGAGAGTACCGCAGTACCCCACGAGAGTTTCGTGATGCGTATCATGGTTGGTGTATCGCGATATTTCGGTTCGGTTTGTAATATCGTTACACCCCTATTCTCTTATCTTCTGTATCTTTATACAAAAGCTCCCAAAATAATTGAATCTCTTTGTTTGTCACCTCAGTCCAACAAGCCCTTTGGGAAGGTGCAGTTGCATGTCGCTGACCTCTCTGAAATCCCACGCTGCAACTGCAAACCTACAGATGAGCGTCCATGCAGCCAGGACTCACAGTGCCTGAACCGCATGCTGCAGTATGAGTGTCACCCCCAGGTCTGTCCCGCCGGCGACCGCTGCCACAACCAGTGCTTCTCCAAACGCCTCTACCCCGACACTGAGGTCATCAAGACCACCGGCCGAGGATGGGGACTGAAGACCAAGCAGGATCTCAAGAAGGTGAGCGCTGTTTAATAGTGCTTTTGACCTTCATTTGTTCTTGAACATTGGAAAATGTTAGTCTTACTTGTAGCTATGCTGTTAGAAAAAAAACTGAAATAAATTATTATTAGTAGATGTAACCTAAACCAAAGTACAAAAATAAAACCACAGTAATTAATCATAATAGCAGTAAAAGCACATATTTTGTGAATATAGGTTATACCTAGGGATGGGTACCGAAACTCAGTTCTTTATCTGTATCTGTGCTACATTTTAAAAGACTGAAGTATCGTTAAGCTCTGACGTTAACTGTTTTGCTATCTGAACTGGAGAATTATTGCTGAATAAACATTACTTGTAGTAGCTAATTTGCGATATTTAATATTCGTCTGCACAGTTGGCAATCTCACATGAGAAATGCTTGGGTTTCTGGTGAGCGCGTCCAGTTCTCGGCTGTGCATACACACTTATTAGAGGCTCACGCTAAGAGCACAGACATAGCTCGCGACATAGACTCGTGCACACACAGCTCGTAAACTTGCGGAGTTAACCTAACGATTTGTATTTCCCAAGTGGACAATGACAATGCCCGGCGTGTCCATAGAGGCGACCTAGGCGGCCTTCTATGGTGGCAGAGAGCGGCGTCCACGACACCTCACTCACCACCCCTCCACGACACCTCCCTCACAAGATCTAAAATAACTCTTTGATGTCTATAAAATGTGTATGTGAAGTTTCTGTTCAAAATACCCCACAAATAATTTCATAAGTCTTTGAAATAGCCCCTTTTAGACTTTGACCCAAATTATGTCAGATTGTGCTCCCAGCCCTATCCCACCCAAAAAAGGGTGTCAATGTGTTGGCATGGCAGCAGATTCAAAACTCTTATGGCGGACGACTGCTTCTCACTTAGGTCTGTCTATGCTAATGAGTAAGGCCAGACAGAATCAGCAAACATTTTTTGCTATTTCAGCGAAGAATTTTGTAAAAAATCTGCAGATTTATATAGAATGATTTTGGGAGTATCATAACTAAAAACTTCTTATATGAAATAAAATAAGAAAAATAGTTTTTTAACTTTTATTTGATCTTGAGAATGCAAATCCAATTGGATAAACTTATTTTAAGTCTCTCATATGATTTATCTACTAAAAGAGAGAAAATATTACTTTACACACTGTAGTGTAAGTGATATGAACATTTTCATGTTAGTCAATAATGTGACTGAAATCTATTTAAAAACTCAATAAATATAAATTGACACACATTTACACAAGTAAATAAATAGACTCAATAATGGGCTAACAATCTGAGGAATTTTACGGATTTCTGACTGTTTTTATGAAGTGTGATTATAATAAATAGAATTATTAACTTTTACCAATAGAGACTGGCTATATTCACACACTGTTGCCACGCAACTGAGTTTAAACTCTTTATAAAAGTGATTTTTTGTTTTTGCAAAATAGGTCCCCTTTAAAATAAAACTAAAAAACAATGTCATTTATTAAGTGAAATGCCAAAATGACAGGTGCTTGAGCATCACTCAACATCTGTTGCTATCAATTACCTGCCTGATTTTTTTTTAGATCATAATCCTCCCTTATAATTCTGTATGTAGGAAAATCTCTGATTGTTTCACAAACTGTTTCCCTGATCTTGGGTCATTGTTACATTGTTTTCAGGGTGATTTTGTCATGGAGTACGTTGGCGAACTGATCGATTCGGAAGAGTGCAAACAACGAATAAGAACCGCTAATGAGAACCATGTGACCAACTTCTACATGCTGACCCTGACAAAGGTACCGCAGTTTCATGCTCACTTTCTGTATGTCACATTATTACATCATTACAGCCGTATTAAAGCAGACCCTCATGTGCTTTTTCAGGACCGTGTCATCGATGCTGGACCCAAAGGGAATTTGTCACGCTTTATGAACCACAGCTGCAGTCCGAACTGCGAGACTCAGAAGTGGACGGTGAACGGAGACGTGCGGATTGGACTCTTCACCTTGTGTGATATCTCTGCTGGTAAGAACTACTCGTGTTTTCTTTGCAGAAGAGTTCAAGTGTTTGTTTAGAAGCTAATTGATGCAATTATGTTTTCCTCAGACACAGAACTGACCTTTAATTACAACCTGGACTGTCTGGGTAATGGGAGGACATCCTGCCACTGTGGCTCTGAGAACTGCAGTGGTTTTCTTGGAGTCAAGCCCAAGGTAAAGCCTAATCAAATTAGACAGGAACAGATGAACTGCTTTCCTGAGAATTCCAGTTGCACCATTGACATTTCTCAGAGTTTCTAAGGGCATGCTAATAGGCCAGACTTTATTTAACACTAGCATCTCGTCTTTGATTTAGTTTTTTTGTTTTTTTTACACTGGGTATCAAGATTTTTTTTTCATCAATCAAAAAGTGGATCACTCAAAGTACAGGTGTAGATAAGCTCTGAATTGTTTCAAGTGGTCTACTACAAGCACATCACTTTCTTAATGTATTGTTAATGTAAACTTAAGAACTGGGACAATAAATCCATGCATTCTGTGTGGATTTCGAGATTTTCTGAATGCATTTCAATTCTCTTGAATTGATCCTCAAGTTAGTTTCTACCTGTAGATGGTGCTGTATGCTTTATAAACACCATACTCTGCCGATCCTTACACATACTGCTTAAACATTAAAACAATCAGTATTCCAGAAAATCATCAAAGGTTTAAAGGGAACCTATTTTGCCCCTTTTTACAAGTTGTCATACAAGTCTCTGATGTCCCTAGAGCATGGGTCTCAAACTCAAATTAGCGGGGGGCCATTTCAGTGACTGACTATTCATAGGAGGGCCGTTTTAACATTCAAGCACAGGAAAAAAAGTGGACACCTGATGTAATTGATCAATCTTAGGACAACAGACATGAGTTATTCTTCTACAGAGTATATGCAGTGTTGTTTCTTGTGGTACATATTAGGGGTGTAACGATACACTCAGCTCACGATACGATGTGTATCACGATATAATGTTCACGATTCGATATGTATCACGATATTTGGAATAAAAATTAAAAATTTAACTTAAATGCAAATTTTACCAAGTAAACTATTTTTTATGCATTTCTTTTGTTTCAACTTGTTAAACTGAACCTTCTTTTAGAAAATATATTAAACAGGCCTGTCTCTGGAAAATAAAACTATTTAAAAACTTCTTAAAAAATATTATTGAAATGACAGAGACAAAATTAAGGAACAATTTAAGTAAAGGTGCAAAAAAAAAAGCTTTCTATTCAATTGAATTTAACAGTAAGAGCTTAAGGCTTTGCTTGGTCACTTGTGTTTTTTGTGTGTGCAAAAAAAAATCCACATTTCCAGGTAATCAGCAGTTCTATAAGATAATCCTGAACTTGTGTGTATCTGTCTGAGAGGTTTTTATGGATGGCTGTCTTCATGTTGGGCATGATGAGTGACAGGGTGACAGGGTGGCCGTCTTTTCATTACACAGTCGTGCTCTTTTCAGCAGTTTAGGCAGGTTAACTATTTCTTCGGCGTCGCTGATGTCGGCGCTATCAAGTGTATCATGTTGACGTGCATTTTTGTGTACCTCTGTACTCAAAAGGGTTAATGCTCGTCGTAATCATAACTCTAAAATGCCATATGATTGTTTAAATAATGTGTACGTTTTCGGTTTCATTTCCACTGCTAAGTGCTGTTCATACTTCCCACGCGGCTCCTGAAAGATCACTCTGTTCCACAAACTGAATGTTGTTTACTACTTTATTAGTCACAACCTGCAGGGGGCTGTTCCAGAAAGCAGGTTATGTGACATACCCGGGTAAGTTTGAGAGTATGTAGGTGGATAACCTCAACTTTGGTTCCAAAATCGGAGGTAACTTCTGGGTATGTTAAGTAGCCATAGCAACTTACTCTCTGAAGATAACCTGCTCCAGAGCAGGTTATGTTCAGAGAGTAAGTTGCTATGTTTTAGAGTTTGTCTGTTTTAGAGAGTTTACTGAGCATTGCATGCTCTTTTGATGGGAATATTTATGGATATGGACACACAAATACAAGTTTTTTCGTTGTGAGAGGGTTATAAGTGCATAGTTTTTTTCATAACCAAATTCATAATGTCAATGTATTTAACAAACCTTTTTGAAATCAAATGTGACAAACCCCGGGTCTGCGCTTACCATAAAAAACATTCAGTGCAGCTCTTTGTATTCGCGTCAGGGCATTTTAGGCAACTGTACAATGTGGCAGTATGACCACCTGTACAGTATGCCTGGCACTGAACTGTTTTTTACACTTTCGTACAGTTCCTTGGTCATAAATCACTGCGTATCATTACACAGAAGATTCAGAGCACGGCAATAGAGTAGTGGACAGTGCGTCGATAAAGAACAACGGAGCGCACAACGGAGTGAGTTCGAATCTCACATAAAGATTGTGTGTTTTTTCTCTCCTTTTGCACCCTCACATTTCTGTATAATATTATAAGTGGCAGCTTTGTCTTTTGTAGGAAAATATATCTATAATTTAAGATGTAGGACGTCGTTCTTATATATATACATTCACGCACACACACCTACATTTTTTAATATAATTTTTTTTCAGGGTTTCTAAATGCTATTGTGTGCATTAATTGCAGCCGATTTTAAAGCTCCATCAGTCACTAAAGGACACTGATAATATAAAATTTGTCCAAAGTATAAGTGTGCAGGTACAACTTAATTTTCTATCCTTAATCTTTTGATGTTTCAACTATTAAACTCATTACTGCTTCCACTTACCAGCTCATCACACACCCCACCTCATCACTATGTTGAGGCTAAATGGCTGATTTTCAGGAAATAATGATTCAAGTGTATAATACAAATATAGTAAAAAAAAAAAAAAACTATAAAGCAAATGTTGCTTAACACAATGTTTATTTTTATTATATTTGTATTATACAATAGAATCATAGGCACTACATTGTTACTTGCTGGAGGATAAAAGATACCCTTTTCTTCCTTATACGATGACACGTACCTGCAGCCTGACCCAGAGGAAATCTCAGTGACCCAAGCAGACAAAACAGATGGAAGAGTGCTAAAAAAAATATATATAATTAGTCAAAAAACTATGTTTACTCAAATAGTTTGGTCTGTTCATTTCTTCATTTCCTGAAATAAAATGAATGATTTTGTACACTGCTTTACACACGCACCTTTAAACGTGTAACATATTTTTCATATACATTTCTCACCTTAAGGTGATGCTCATGTGACTTTATCTTTGAAGATGGACCTTATACAGCTACTTTAGAATTTAAATATGTAGATAAAAGATTTTGTGATCCAAGAGTAATATTTAAATATGGAAAAGTGCAGAAAATTCTTACACTGCTTGTTAGTTGAGGCAGAAGGAACTTCGTCTGCATGCAAAATAAAAAGAACCTAAAGCTATCTGACAACAATCACTTACAACAGTGACAGAGTGTGTGGTTTAAGTTAAAAACTCAACCACTGAAAAGCCTTTATTATAGGACACAGCAGTTAGACAGGCCTCTTTCTATTAGCTGCATGTCAGAAAGCATATTCTAGAGTGTGTAGGAAAATGGTTTTTCCCTCCCCGAGTTCAGGATTCGCTTGAAAGTAGACGCAGGAAACTTAGCTTTATCGAGAAATCAAAGTTTAATAAACGAAGGATCAGATCAACAATGCTGAGCCCAGGAATACTGAAGAGACACCATGAAAAGGCAAACTGGGCGCTCCAGTATTGCCGTACAAACATAAAACAATAGTTTTTATTCTTGGTTGTCTCCTCCCCACTCTCGATGAGCCTCCAATCCATTATTCGCCTTCCCATCATCAGATCTCATTTCAACCAGTTAGAATCTGCCAGTAGCCTGCAAACACACACACACACACAAAACACACATGCACCCCTACACAGACTGAGATACGGCTGGTTCCTTGCAGGTGTTAAACCACATCCTGTACCAAAGCACAGCTGTCCATGAGCTCGGATCTCTCGTCTTACTTCTGTGGAAAACCCCGTTTCTCTAGAAGCGAAGCTTAAGCGACAGGCTCACATTTCAAACAAAGCAATAGGCTCATATTTCAAACAAAGCATTTCATCAGTAAAAAAATAGCAAAACTTAATATCAATATTAAACATATATAAAACATCAAAAATATGAAAAACTTAATATCAATTCTGAACATATATAAAACATTAAAAAATATGATTCCCTCAAAAATATAATTCCCTCAATTCCCTCTCTTGATCTCATAAGAGATCACACCATATCCAATAGTTCCTCCTCCACTTCCTCTTAAACAGGCAAAGGTCTACCCAATCAGCAGCATTGGCCACTGGTTCCTTAGATTGTTTTGTCAGGAGTAACCTAAAAAGACAAAAGCTGCAATCAAAGAAGTTAGTTTGTCATGATAACATCTCGGTGACAATGGTGTAAATGCTTTCCAGGGACAGCGCAGAACTCTGGCCAGGATACTGTCGACCTGTCAAAAGCTCAAAAGGTGTGAAGTCGGGTCCTGTTGCAGAAGAATGTATAGACATTAATGCAATAGGCAAAACATTCAGTCAGTTAATTTTAGTGTGTACACAGATTTTAGCCAATTTTCTTTCATATCTATAATTATATTTAATGCCGGCAGTACCATGAAAATGAGCCAGACCAAAGGAATGCTCAACAGTTTTCTGTTCCTGAGATAGGTCGACCCAAGGAGGTAAAGAAACCAGACCTCCGCCACTGTGGCAATTTGACATGTACAGCTGTACCCACATATGCGCATTCAAGTTAGATGTTAACCCTTAAATCTTTTGCTAACTTAAGTAATTCAACCATTGGTATCATTTAGACTTTTTCAATTTATATGCCCTAACCTGTCCTCAGACTTCCATCATCTGCTCTAAAACAACAGCCATCAGCAAACTCAGAACTCTAGGAGGAGATGTCAATTACAGTCCAGTCAAGACAGGCCTTAATTAATTTTTTTTTTTTTTTTTTTTTTTTTTTTTTAGACACAATTCAGTGATAGGTGCACAATCACAGGAAAGTCGGTTATTATATGTATGGCATTTATAATTGAAACTATTCTATATTGTTTTTGAAATGTCAGAAAGTAAATTAGGTTTAATTCCCAACTGATATGACTAAGTGTGTTAGTTATTATAGGCTTTTTTTATGGTTAATGTAAGGCTTACGTAACATTAGAGATTTTTTTTT